AAGTGAAACTAGCTAGCAGTGAATTTCCACATAAATCAGATGTCCCAGCTGGACAGTCCAGGGGACACTTGCAGCCCACAAAAGTGTTTGCTTTGGCCCACATCTTGTTGCCCTAAACAATGTTTTAGGGAATTTTGATTTATTTGCCAACATTTAAAAACCAGAATATTGTACATAAAAATCAGGATGTCTGGCTTCTCTTAAAATTTGTGAAGTTTTAGAAAGCTCACATCCTCACTCCCTTGGGTGAGCAAGAGCTAAGATGTGTCCGTGCCCTTTGGATGGAACATGCCATCTCAGGCTTGCTGTAGTGTCCACCCTGAGCCTCCGCTGTTATTTTCTTAACTGCATCCCTCTTTGGACATTCACATTACAAGCCTGGCCTTCAAAGGCATTTTTGAGATTCCTGCATAAAGCTTAAAACAAAAATATTTTTAGCAAAAAAAAAACCCAAAACTTTCATTTCCACTTAGGTAGACATGGAGTGTCCTTTTCTGAAGATGAGTTTTTATGTGAAAAAGAGATTGGGGGACTTTGGGCTCTGAGGGGGGGGCAATAAAAGTGTGTATGTCCTATTTCTGTAAGCTTCGCTAACATTTATTTCATGAATCCTCACAAGAAACCCTGGAGGTAAGAGTTCCTATTCTTCTAAGGTTACCAGATTGAGCAAACATACAGAACACTGAGTTACAAATGATTTGTTGTTTATCTGAAATTCAACTATGACTGGCCCATTGCATTTTATTTGGCAACCTTATATCCATCACCATTTTGAAAGGAAAATAGTGTAGCTTCATTGGTCCCTCTGCAACCACACAGTAGTGTAAAAGAGCGCAGTTCTGTCCTTTGGCCCAGTTCGTACAGGGCTTGTGCCTCATTGTGGTGAAAGGACAGGCAGAAGTGCCCATGAAGTCAGGCTCTGTGAGGAAATCTGGAGAGTCGACTGGGACTATGTGAGACTGTGTGAGATAAAGTGAGACTATGGTGCCATGGCCACTTTCAGAATTTTCTGGAGGCCCATTCTAATTACTCAGGCCAGACCATTGTCTGTGGACTCAAATGCCTTTCACTTACTCTCACTGACCGTGCTGATGGGGACACTTCTCCAGAGAGATTGCTAACCACCTTCTGTCTTCTGAACTTGGCCCCAACTTCTCTTCCTTTCTAGAGGCTAAGTCCCTAGAAATGGGAAAACACGGATGCCAGATAATTAGGAAGGTAGCAGCAACCACAACAACAAAAATGCTCCAGAACAACTTCCCTAGATTTTCCAAGGATCAGACTTGCTTGAGAGGATTTCCATATTCTTTCTGGGAATGATGCAATCAATCAAAAAATACCTTCATTTTCTGAAAGAAAAGTAATGTTTTCATGCTCTTGCTTAAATTTGCCTGTGGTTACCTCTACAGCCTTCAGTGAGCTATTTATTACCCTGGTTTGCACACCTCCAGAAGCCAACGATGACACAAAGATGTGAGAGCAAGTCCTTTTATTTGGAAATGATCTCAAGATGAGTGGAAGGAATGGAGAAGTGAGAGAGGCAGGAGAAGGCAGCCAATAAAGGAGCGCCTGTCAAGGGGAAGGTAAATCCTGTGGGCAACTGGGGCTCAACCCTTCTAGCAAACACTGGAAAAGGATTCAGTTACCCTGATCAAAGCGAGTTGAGGTATTTATCCTCCAACTGCTGCACATCATTGGCTGAAGGACCCACTGCCACTTGCCCACTCCCAACTCACCTATATGTGGGCTCCTGTTGCCAGAGAAACTGTCAGGGGAAAAGTGGCAGGTTCTAACAGAAAGGGGAACTGGCGAGGGGATATATCCAGGGTACCAATAGCATCTGTTCCAGGCATTCCTTCTTTCCTTCCATGTGACCCGTTATTCCACAACCAAACCCACCAACCAAGGACTACTCTTTGTTACGAGTTAATGGCCGTTGGCTCACAGGATACATCTAGATATTAAATAGGCAACAACCCATAGATAGTCATTGGAACATAGACGAAAAGCTCAAGAGTGTTGAAATCCTTGAGAGAGGTTCCTAGTACAAATGCGGAATATAAACTGATGTTGCTGCCATGAGCAGAACATGATAGAGGATTTGAGAGGCTTAACAGCAACGTGTGTAACCTTTCATTGCCATCCCCAGTTCCTCTGTCACATGAATGTCACTACGACCTCCTTGTTCTGCCAGTTCCACGTTATCTATTGTGTATTTCACTTTCTGGGGGCCTATTTTGCTTGGACCTAAAACTATAAGTTAATTATTTCTAGGGGAGTGTCATGAGCTTCTCTTCATGACACTTTACAGGATTTCCTGGAAATTAAAGGCAGCACCAAGTGGTTGGGAGCCCAGATGCTAGAGACAGAATGCCTGGGTCTCTGTCATTTATGAATTGCTGCATAACCCCGGGCAAGCTACTCATCTGGCATGTTGTGCCTAAGTGTCTCATGTGTAAAATAGGCTCAATAATATGGCCTATCCCTTTGAGCCGCTCCGAGGATTCCATGCTTTAATGCTTATAATGAACATAGAATGGGTCCCAGAACACAGTCATTGCTTTGTAAGTGTTTGTTAAATAAATCTAAAGGGATGAGATCCTAATAGGTATTTAATATTCCCCCTTGGTTAGTGCTGGGAAAAACAATGCTGTATAAATGAGTCCTGCCTGGGCTATCACATCATAATTTCTAAGTAAGCGTCCTTCTCCTCTTTCTGCCCAGCCCAACACCACCAAGAATAAGCCGCTGTGGTCTCAAAACTATCAGAAGTGAGTTGGAGAGTAAACCTTGTCATTGACTAGCTAGGAAAACCTGCTTTCTCTGGAATGCTAGCTATTTGCCCACATAATGGGGATCTGTAAAATATAAAATAAACTAATATATGTAGAAATAATTTGCTTGCTGCATGGTGTCTTACCAGGTGAGCTCTGTTTACTGCCTTCTCTGCTTCCTTCCCTCATTTCCATTCAAAGAATAGTTCATAAATATGGACCAAAAATCAGAAGAATATAAAGCCAGGAATAATCTCATTGCACATAAAAAAGTTTGTAAACTGCAGTTAGCATCTTGGTCTTTAAAACTAAGTATATTTTAGGATCTATGAATATATATTATTTGTAATTGCTTTTTAAAAATATTATTGTAAAGTCTTTCTATGCCATTATACTCCTTCTATGATATAGTTTTTAAAATTTTATGCTATATTTAATGTACCCTACTTTTTGTAACCTATCTCCAATAGTGGGACATTTGGTTGTTTTGGTTTTATTTCCTAATGTTTCTCCTGTTAAAAATAACAAAGGCATGAAAATCCTTGCAGAAAAGTCTTTCCTCAAAAATCATAATTATTTCTTTGAAAATTTTAGAAGAGATTTACAGCATCACATGAAATTCACAGTTTTAGAGCTTTGGTATAGGGTGCCAAATTATTTTTTAGAAAGATTGTTTCAATTTATACTTTACCGATAAGTGTTTGAAAAATGCACATTTCCCCCAATATAATCATACTATATAATCTTAAAATAATAATTTAATATCCATCAAATAAAATATGTGGTTATAATTTACATTTCTTTGCTTACTAATGAAACTGAATATTTTTCTTGTGTTTATTGGCCATTTTATGTATCCATTTGTGAATTTCCTATTTATATCTTTTTCTCACTTATATGTTTTTATCCCTTTTGGATCATATATTATTTTAATTCAAATATAAAGGCTTTTTACATAAAAAGGATATTGACTCTTTACAGTCTGATATTTTTTTCAGTGTTTTTCAGTTTGTCATTTGCTTTCAATTTTTATAGAAATGTGAGAACACTTAAATTTTAGTGTTTTTTTATGTTCATTAGTTTGCTTTTATTTTAATCGTTGTTGCCTATAGCATCATGCCTATAAAGGCCTTTCTTATCCCAACTTTAAATAGATATATACCCACTTAGTATTTTCCTTGTTCTTCTTTTTCTTCTTTTTTTCTTCTCCTGCATATGTTTCAGGATTACCATAGACAGATGGCTGAAGACCCAAAGCTAAGTATCTGTGTATGGTCCTGGAATTAAAGAAGCTACCAACCTCTGACCTAAGTCTATCCAGCAAAACCTCATTGTACCATTCTGATGTCCCTGGCAAAATTTTGTGTTAGACATTTCAAGAAGGAAGGCAAATTCACAAGATCCTTAATTCTTAAAACTGAAATACTTTAAAATAGTATTTAGTTCATGCTCTTTTGATCTGCATTTCCTGCCCTGCTTAGCATGAAAAGAATTCATTACTAACTGTAATAAGAGTTTCTGAAGCAGAATTCGGGGAGAGTTATTACTATGCATAACCTTTCAAATGCTCATAGTTGCTAGGAAACTGGAAAGTTAATAAATTAGCCCTAATAAGAGATTTCTTTCCATCATATTTGAGTTTCACATCACTCCTTACTAAGGCAGCTGGAAATGCTCTATTGGGAATATAACTCATCCATTAAAAAGAGTCATGATCCAAAACCATGGAAGAAAACAACCAACCAGGTTACTACATTTGCTCTTTCACTGTGGGAACACTTTGGCTTAGTAGAAGCAGAAAGGCTTTGTGATAAGGTGGTCATAAAGTTGAATCTGGTTTCTGTGACTACCTGGCTACCTTGGGTTCGTCCATTTTTCAGATCTCCATTTCTGGAGATGCTGATATTAATATTCATTATAGGACAGTTCCTGAGCCACTATTCTGTGCCAGGCACTTTGTATGTGTGAACTCATTCAATCCTCACAGTAACCCAATGAGGTAGGTACTATTTTTAATCCCCATTTTACAGCTGAGGAAATCAAGGCACAGAAAGAGTAGAAAGTAGAGAAGCAGGACATGAAATAGGCATTTCAATAGTAGAGTTAATGAGCTTAATTTTTCTGAGTGTACAAAGATCCAGGGAAGCATTTGCTTGGTGCGTACAGAGAAGGAAGTTGCTAAATGTTAGCCCCCTTCTGTCGCTTTGGCGAGGACCCTCTTCCTACCTCGCACAGTTGCAACTTCCCCATCCTCATGAGCCATGCACTGCATGGCAGTAGCCCCCACACATATGGGCATGCTGACCCTCTGTCCTAGAACAGAAGTGGACAGGTCTATTTCAGCAACATTCCGGAGCATCCGTGGATACAGCTTCCATCTATAAGGGAAAAAAAAGTTTTAGAATTTCAAAAACATTATCAGAGCTTTAATATTATATTTTAGTTAAAAAGAAAAAAAAATACTGTTTTTTCCCATCAAGCAAATTATTTTTTAAAGCTAAAGAAAAAAGAGGCAATGTTAATGTTTGTTAGGATAGAAAGTTAAAATAAGATCACAATGATATTCTCAAGCAATTTATTTTATTAAACTACAATTAACATACAGTAGAATTCACCCACTTTAGTGTATAGCTTTGTAAGTTTTGACCAATGCATATGATGTTTTAACTGCCACAACAATCAAGATCAAGAAATGTTCAAACATACCCAAAAATGTCTTTATTTTCTTTTGTCGTGAAATTCTCCCCAGTTCAATCCCCTGACAACCACTGATATTTTTATTTATTTTTTTTTTTTTGGCCTGATAACTTTGCTTTGAAAGAATATTATTGAAACAGATACATGCAATATGCAACCTTTTGAGTCTGGCGTCTTTCACTTAGCATAATCCGTTGCATATTGTTGCATTTATCAGTAGTTTGTTTCCTTTGGTTGATGAATTGTTACCATTGCACAAGGGTACCACCATTTGTTTGTCCATTCCCAGGCTAAAGAACATTTGGAATATTTCCAGTTTGGAGTGATTATAAATAAAGCTACTACAAACATTCACTTGCAGGTTTTTGTGTGGACATAGTTTTCATTTCAGTTCCCACAAGCCATTTTGAAGATGGTACACAAACACCCAGAGGGTAGATTACAGTTGAAGAAGAGAAGATATGTCTACTTTGTCTTCTTTTTATATAATAGGCAGTAGCTTAAGGCAATTACTTTGAAAATTACAATTTGGTTTCTTCAAAATCCTTGAGCTCTATGCTGTATTCATTGAAGTATGATAATAAATGAAGATTTTTTTTTTAGTTTGATTGAACATTTTCCTCAAAAATGTTATTTAACAGGAACTGAATTTTTTAAAGAGTTTTTGACTCCTAAAAATTATTCTAAATGACTTTTTCTGTGATTCTTCTGTGGTGGAATGAAAAGTACCAGTAAACCAACAACCAAAAATTCAGTTGTAAAATTTACAGGAGAACTAATTCTCTTTCCTCCCAGGAAAATTTATGTCTCCTATTTGTTGGAGTTTATTATTCTCCTCATTAGTGCTGTTTAAAACTGAAGAAAATACAACCTTATTTCTAATATGCATTAGTATAATAAACGTGTTGTATAGACACACATAGCATCCCTAACCAACACTCACCTTTCACCACCTAGATTTAACTCTGTTTCCAGAGAGATCAAAATTTTTTAGTAAATATAGTGATGTATTATTTAGTAATGGAGTAACCCAAAAAAAGTCCTTAATTGAAGCACACTTCCTGGAACAGAAGACGAAATTCTGCCTTCGTGTTGCTTTGTGGAGTAGCTCAGGGTCTGTAATCTAACCCCTCCTCGTATAATAAAGTAAAAACATCCAGTCCCTGAAAAGCATAATAAAGAAGTTTTACTGTGTGATTTCTATGCTATTCCTTTGAACATCATAATTGTCATTATTTTATGTCACACCACATGCTCCGTTGCTGGAAGTCTTTTCTTTTCGACTGACCCTCACAGCATGGTTCTTTGATCTCCATTTTGAAGGGAGAGAAGCAGAAGCCTTGAAGAGAGTTTTTATTACCAATCATCTCTAAGTGTGTTATTAGAACGAGAGAAAACGATTTTAATAGCAGCCATCGGCATGCCAGCCTTGGAAGGCATTAATATTTACTTAGAGCTGGAGAAACAATGAAAGCTTTTATGAAGAGAACACACAAAGCTACAGGGCCCCAGCTGTGTGCGTGTGTGCGTGTGTGCGTGCGTGTGTGTGTGTGTGTGTGTGTGTGTGTCCGCGCGCGCGCGCGAGCAATAACAGAGACATTTTTAAATCTCAAACTCTCATTTATAAGACAAGGCTGCATCCTTCTATCCCCAGACAGTAGTTCGACGTTTGTCCACGTGGTGGCGCAGTCACTTTACTATAAATTGTGCGCTCTTGCTTTCCCGTAAAACACTATTTTCTGCTCGGAGAATATTACAGAGACTTATCTATCAATGCACAAAATGGAATTCCTAGACAAAATTAGATTTAAAAAAAATCAATGGCAGTAGAAAACGTATGTTCTCTAAAGAATCCTCCATGTTTTGATATTTTTCAAATAGCAATTACAATAACCTTATCAGATAATTCAATAGCAGCTTTTTACTCCAAATTTAAGTAACTTTCCCACAATCATACATAAAATAGTAGCTCACTTTAACTTTGGAGTGTGCTATAATGGAGCCTCCACTTTGGAAAAGGGATATGAAGATTGGCAAACACTTGAACCAATTAAATAATACACCTCAAATTTAACTTATCAAAAAATCAGGTGATAGGCACACTCCCTGTGAAGTAGCTACTCTGTTGAAGGAAGACACTCACACATCAGCCAGCTTTAAAACTTTGTGCTGTTTTTTAATCACACCAACTGAACACAGTGAATTAAAGCTTTGTCAGTTTTTGTCCTGTCCCAAAGTTACTCAGTACACACATAGGATGGGAATACTCACTCAAGTACCATGTAATTCACATAAGGCATGAGGCACTTTGCAGTTCACAACTTGGAAGTCACCAAGCTTTCTATACCTCAAGAAGTTTCTAGAATTTCTAGGTTTGCAGAGGTGGTCAGTCTGCTTTGCCTCACCCCTTCACTCCAATTTGCTCCAAATTGCATTCCAGTATTCTCTACATTAATTTTTTATCCTAAATATTTAAAGCATATAAAACAAAGAGCACCTATTCACCTGTTATGGATACTAGCTGAATGATTTTGTAACATTTATGCCTATGAGAAGAGTACTGAAAATGTCACTAAAAGTTGATATTGCTTCTCAAATATTAAAGTGAGAGAATAATATCCCTTCTATGCATTGGTTGTTTAAAAGAAAACAACACAATTTTCAGAGTCAGTGGGTGATGTGACAGATGAGAGATGAGCTTCATTTTTTGAAATCATGGGGGCTTCTAAATACCTAAATTATAGAATTATTTTTCAGTAATAATTTCAGAAAAAAAAAAAACTCAAAACATGTGCAGACCATAGTTGAAAAGGCTACTTTGAGTTAAGGTGTAAGTAAAACAAAATACTGTTGCTTTTCAAATTAGCCTCAATCAGTTCAGGCCATGCAAAATGTAGCAAGCTGACATTTGCCCTATTTTGTCATATTTGAAACAAGAAATTTTGGTCTTATGGGTGGTTCCATGTTTTTGTCTTTTGGTAATTTTTTTCTTTTGCCACAATAATAATATTAGAGTCTTTAGTTTTATTCAGAAATGTTTCTGAGCAATTTCTGGTTCACATGATTGACTCATATCCCCAGAACTCTGAAATGTGGTTGTCAGAGCTGAGCACAGAGAGATAAAAGCTGTCACTGTGAATGACCTTTTGTTGTACTTGTGGGAAGGAGAGGTGTATACATTTCATTAATGTCTTTGAAAATACCCTGACCTTGTGTCACAATGGGTTAGCTGAGGTTTAGTTGAACTGTTCTTTTCATTTGTATCAGAATGAGAAATTTCAGGTTGATTTCCTTCATGCCAACAACCCAAAGCCAACACAACCCTGGCAGAAAGTCTATTCTTAGTTGCATGTGACCAGCTAGATGATATGGGGTGAGGAATCAAGGGTCAAGTAGCAAGTTACACAGTAAAAGAGGAATTGAGATGTTAGATAAGTAACAGCCCCTAACATTAGTTGCAATAAAATCTCAGGTAGTTGATAAAAAAACAAACAAACAAACATACAAAAAAAAAAAAAAACCATCAGCTGTCTGCCAAAGAAAGTAGATTAATACATTTTTTTTCTTTTAAAGTTAAACAAAAAAGAAAGATCAAAGTTCATGGAAAAGGTAGCATTGCAAACTCATTCTCATTACCTGTGTCCTGTCCCTAAGTTACTCAGTACACACTCTGGTGCCAAATTATTCACATAGGCATGAGGCACTTTGCCAGTTCACAACTTGAAAGTCATCAAGCCGTCTATGTCTCACAAAGCTTCTATTATAGAATTTCTAGGAATGCAGAGGTGGTCCATCTGCTTTGTTGCACCCCTTTGCTCCCTCTCTGAGACCTCCACTGGGCCAAGTGTTTTGAGTCCCTTTCATGCTGTTGGGTCAATCCAACAGCATTATGGAGATCAATGTGCATCCAGTGGAATGTCAGCTCCTGTGGATAGGAACTTTGTCTGGTTCATGGTGCTCTCCTCAGCATGTAGTACAGAGTCTAGCCTATAAGACCCCTAATCAGACTGAGTTAATCAACTAACAGGGAGTGGAGGGGGTGCAGGAGTGAGGAAGACTCTATGTAAATGAAATAGGTAGTCACCTGAGCACTGTGACCTGAGCAATGTGGAGACACCAACCTGTAAATCTGTCCAGGGTCTGAAATTTCCTTCTTTCAAATGACCTCTTTGGGTTAAGGAGACCACTCAAAGGCAAACCACATTATTTGGTGAATACAGTTGAAATTGACCCAAGAAAGGGGCATCTCTCAAGAGCAGAAACTTTTAAATGAATCCAAAATATTAACTAATGATCGGAAAAGATCATGCAGAATCTGACACCCCTCTCCTCTTAGCCAACTTTTCCTTCCCATGACTTCCCCAGCATTTGATGAGCTCTTTTGGGTTCCAGGGAAAACCTAAGACAAAGTCAAGGCTCAAAGGGGTTGAGAGAGGTTCTACCCTTCACCCTGTTGCCATTCTCTGATTTGTGGGTGAACCAGTGCTGTCTATGAGGAGCTGCCTTAGTTAGAGCAATTTCATTCCTCCTAATTTACATATAGAAAAGTGATTTGGGGTAATTTTAGTATAGACTAAAGCAGAAATCAGGAAGGAAAGCCAGTCCTCTCCTGCTGCACATTTTCTGCCTTTTTAAAATTGTCCCCCATCAATGAGTACCCACAATAACCATTGCCTTTACTAAGAGCTATAATGTTAGATGGTTAAGACTGCAAGAGGGTGGTGCAGTGAAGACACTCATCTCCTACTCCAGCAAATAAACCATCTTTATAACTGCTGAAAGACAAACATCTCTTAAAAGTCATTTTATTTCTTGTTTTTATTACAAACAGAAAACATAAACCATGACACCCACCATCTTGTGCTTTGAAGTATGAAAGTCAAGGGAAAACTAATTTAGGAAGAGAAATGAAGCGCTCTGGAGGAGAGATGAAACAGCAAGGTTGAAAGATTAATGCTACATAGACAAATTGAAATCTAAAGTGAAAGTTTAGACAACGGTAATCAAAATGAATGATAACACGCGGAAAGCCAGCAGGATGGGAACATTTGAAGCAACAATCCAATCTGCTTGAACCAGATAAGATGGTTATCTTGCATTTAATGTTGTTTCCTACACCGTGAACATAAACATTCACTGTCATACTCAGAGAAAAAGAAAATGGAGTCATCAGAATTTATCTCTATGTAGTTAAATTAATTATCATCATATTTCCAAGTGAGGTAACATAGGGTCAGCTATTACAGTCAGTTGTTTAAGATTCCCAGGTTGGAATATTTTTAAACAACTTAAAAGCCAAGATTTCTCACAGCCCCAAGAATTTTTCTACTCTCTACCAAGCACAAAGATAGACAAATAATTCTTCATCAACGTAAAACTAGAATTTATTTTGGTAAATGTCTTTCTGTAATTTTACATCTACAATGTCTTTCTGTAATTTTAAACATAACTTTAAAAAATAGATTTTCTTACCTGGAAAATGCTGCCATATTATCAGCCAAGGTTTCCTGATCATTTGCCCCAGACCTATAATAGTCATAGATAGACTTTTGAAGAGTGGATTTAGCATGTTGCTCATAATCATTGATACAAAGTAGCCGGGGGAGCATTTTCAGTTTGTTGCAACCCCAGATGTTGTTTTGGTTATTTTTCTTCATGCATTGCCTTCTACACTTTGACTGTTCCGTTATTTGTCAATTATTAATAGACTTTTGCCAAAGTTCAGGTTTAGTTCTTTGTTTAGTCAAGTAAGCAAGCATTTTATGCCTAGACTTTTACATTTTATTTGCAGACTATCTGCCAAAGAACAAACAAGTCACAAGAAATTGGGGTTGGGGAGACAGTAGGTGGGGATTAGATGTCTGTCACATTTAAAAAGCAGAGGAATAAGTCAAAAATTAAGGATTTAGAGAAGGACTTGAATGAAACCAATCTTGCCTCAGTTCTGCCTAAGGCTGCTTCTTTCTCATCCTCTTTCCTACCAAGACTTTGATCTGTGCTTGGTACCCAGAAAGGGCTGCCCACTCATTTTCCTTTTATTTTTGGAACATGTACATGTCATGTGAAAAAAAAAAACATATAGACTGAATGGGGCATCTAGTAAACACAAGGCTTTTACATCATATGAAATTTAGATGATTATAAACATTTGGCTTTCACAAAGAATATTTAGACCAAATTTTACAACTAATTCTTTTTTAAAAATAAATTGTATGTGTATATTTGAGGTTTACAACATGAAGTTCTGGGATACATATAGATAGTAAAATGATTTCAACAGTAAAGCAAATTAACACATCTGTCATCTCACATAGCTACCTTCTGTGTGACAAGAACAGCTAAAATCTACTAAAATGATACAATTGTATTAACTATAGTCCTTATGTTGTACATTGGATCTGTAGACTTGTCCATATATATTTACTTTTTGCCTCCTTTGACCTACATCTCCCCATTTCCTCTTCTCCACCCCACCCCTTCCCACTGGTGGTAATCACTGTTTTATTCTCTGTCTCTGTGTACTTGAGCTCTTCTTTAAAAAAAAAATATTCCACCTATAAATGAGATCATGCAATATTTTTCTTACTGTGTCTGGCTTATTTCACTTAGCACAATGTTCTTCACGTTCTCTTGCAAATGGCAGGATCCTCTTCATTTTTAAATTTGGAAAATATTCCATTGCATGTATTTTATATTTTCTTTATGCATTTGTCTGTCCAGGCATTTAGTTTTACTGCTAATTCTTAAAGAGTCTTATCTTGCGCAGGATTGGATATAGAGAGGTGCTCTTCCAAAAGAACTTGTGGTCTCAATCTAAAATTTCACTCAATCATGCAACACTGGAGGAAGATTCATATTAATACGATGTGATTGAGACTTCAATGGCTTTTAGGCTTTTACTGCAGCCAGATTTGGGTTTCAATCCAGGAGCTTCTGCTCAAAACTGCTCGCCAGATTCATTCCAACAGCCTATACCTGTATGGGAACTTTCTTTTGAACTTGGGTCCTGCTTTTCCTTCCACTAGGTATGCTAAGTGTTATGGAATTAATACTTGTATAACAGCCCTCAACTAAGGCCTTAGAGGGGTTGGCACATAAATATCCCAAATCTCTTACTCGCCTGGTAGGATTAGCCCTGGGTTTTATGTTCCACGTTGCAGGCTCTGGTTGCCAACCACGTGAGCTGGTTGATACCCATCCTGTGTTGAGGGCTGCCCCTTTCGATCTCACTTTCCTGCCCCTCATAGGTGCTTCTTTCACCTCCCAAATAACGCCTTGTGCCCCTTGTACTTGAGTGCTTGTCTCACAGTTTTCTTTTGGTGAAACTCAAACAAGACTAAGAGAGATATTACCAACTGCCCTGAGGAGTGACTGTGAGGACCGAAGGATGTATCATCAGTGAAACACTCAGCACGTAGTAGGTAGAGTCGACCCTTGAACCACACAGGTTTGACCTGCATGAGTCCACTTATATGTGGATTTTCATTTGCCTCTGCCACCCCTGAGACAGTGAGACCAACCCCTCCTCTTCCTCCTCCTCCTCAGCCTTCTCAACAGGAAGACTGCAAACATGAAGACCTTTATGATCCACCTCCAGTTAATATATAGTAAATACGTTTTCTCTTCCTTGTGATTTCTTAATATTTTCTTTCTTTGTCTTTTCTTTTCCTTTGCCTCCTCTCCTACCCTTCCTCCTCTTCCTCCTCCTCCTCCTCTTCTCCTTCTTCTTCCTCTTCTTCCCTTTTCTCTTCCTCCTCTTCTTCATTTTCTTATTATTCCTCTGTTTTCTCTCTCTCTATTTCCATGCTGCAATTAGAGCCAAGTCCCAGGCAGGCCAGTTGCCTCTCGCCAGGTGGATTTTCTTTCTCCAGTTCGTCCTCTAAACATGTTGCCCTTTGAGGTCCTAGCTTTGGCCTGGGATGAAGGGTATGCCAGTGATCACAAATTCTTGGGAAGGATTCCTCTTTCATACTTTGCAACAACAACACAATTTGGCAAGCAGTCACCCGGAGATGGAGTGAAAATGGAAATGAGAGTGGGGTGTGTTTCTCCACTCCCTTGAGCATCCACCTTTAAAGTGATGTGCTTTCCCTGTGGTCCCCTCAAGGGCCATAGGCAGTTAAAAGTAGAGTTCCAATGCAGTGGGGGGTTCAGCACATGGCTTTGGGGGGAAAGTAGCCTTAGGATTCTGCTTACTTCTCTTAGATCTTGCTCCCACAGATTTTGGTCTGTTTATTCACTATTATTTTATGAGCATTTTGATGCCTTTAGAAACATGTTTGTTATACTTGAAATAACTGAGAATTATTTTCAGCAGGATAGTTGAACTGGCGTATTTAGATCACTCAGTAGGAATATGGGCAACAAATCATTTGACTACTAATTACTGATCATGAATTATCAGTGTTGTTTTGTTTTTTACCATTATCACGGATCCAGTGTGGAAACAAGTAATTTTTTTTTCTTGGATATCCCCTTGCACTGAAGGGTTCTTTCTCCCTCACTATTCTTTCACTAGGGACATCAGCCTGTGGGTTCCCATCTTTACATGGGTGTCACCATGACTTAGTCTCCTTGTGCCCATGCAGCTACAAACTCCAGCCTTCTGTGTGGACAGGGCTTTGTAGAAGACCTTGGGAAAACCTTATGCTTCAGTGCCATTAATCTGCCTTTTGAAGTTTTACTTGCTTTTGTTGTTCTTTGTTTTGTATTTGGCTTCTTCAGAATACCGATTTCTTTCTTTCTTTCTTTCTTTCTTTCTTTCTTTCTTTCTTTCTTTCTTTCTTTCTTTCTTTCTTTCTTTCTTTCTTTCTTTCTTTCGAGAGACAACAGAGTCTTGCTCTGCCACCCCCAGTAGAGTACAATGGCATCATCATAGCTCACTGTCATCTCAAGCTCCTAGGCTCAAGTGATCCTCCTGCCTCAGGCTCCCGAGTAACCAGGACTACAGGCATGTGCCATGAATGCCTAGCTATTTTTTAAAATTTATTTTTGGTAGAGATTAAGTCTCACTTCTGCTCAGAATGGTCTCACACTCCTGACCTCAAGGGATCCGATCATCCACCTAGGCCTCCCAGAGCGCTAGGATTACAGGTGTGAGCCCCTGCTCCCAGCCTGCATTACTTTCTTGACATTTCAGCAGCATATTGTAAAATACACTTATAATATTCTATCTCACATCTGTAGGTGTTTTATAAAAGACTTTTTAGTAAAGCTAGTCTACATATTTCCAAACACTTTAATTGTGGTTCTTTAATTATGGGCCTATTATTGTATAGAAATGTAAATGTTTAATTTAGTCAAATGTATCAATAGTGTCACTGATGGTTTGGGCTTTTTAGTCTCACTTAGAAAATCCCTCAAAGAGCTTAAAAAACATTTTCCCATATTTTCTTTCATCTGGAACTGATCTTTCACTGCACTGTGGTGGTCACTATTTTGTATCCATAAGCAAAATGAGCCAAATATTTGGTTCAAAAAATATATCCAGTTCCTCCCTTCAAGGTACATAGTGAAATTGCATATTCTGGTTCCCCTATGCATGGGGCCATGCTGGTTCTGGCCCATATGACCGGTTCTGAATGGATTATTAATGTCTGGTGACCGTCAAATTGGGGTTGGAGCATTTAATTGCCAATGCAAGACCCTCCTGTCTCTCCTCTCCTTGGCAGATCAGCAAGCTCTGTCCTCATGGGGGTGCTTTGTCAGCATGGGTGGTGATGAGAAGACCCCAAGGCACCATATGACTGGCACGTCGTGTGATCACACATTATATCTTTGTCATTCTAAGTCACATAATGTATCCCAAACTAACTGATACATACAAGGCCGAAAGTAGAAATTAATTTATTTTTTCCATATAAATAACCAATTGTCTGACCATCACTGATCAAATAAATCAGATTTCCAAACTCATTAAATGATATTCATTAAGAACAGAAATATTTCATTCTATGAATGTAATCAATAGATCCTAAACCACATTCTTTTGATTAACAAAAAATTAATTTATGCCACAATATTTCCTATGTAGCTGTAGGATATTCCCAAAGTTAATAATGAAAGAAGATAAATAATGGATGCCACAAAATATGTCCTCTGTGAGCAGTGTACAGAAATCTCCAAAGGGGGCTATTCTTAACCCGCAGTTGTGCTTGGAACCAGTGAGCAGGAGTAGATTAGCTAGTAATTGGATGTCATGCTCTCTGATTTTAGAGATTAGAAATCAAAATGAATTGATCTTAAACAGTATAGTTTAGAGTTAAAATATAGTTTTCTGCTAAGAGAATAATCTCTTGATGTTTAAAACAACACAATTTCTTCAGGTAGATCATTTGAATGTAGACAGGAAAGACAGCTCTACCTGAAAGGCGATGCTGAAAGGATATCACTGCACACTGGATGCACATCCCAGAATAGATTCTCATCCTGTAGGCACCTTGTGTTAGAGGGTGAGACACAGACACATGCAGTTTTCTGAAAGGCATTCAACTATTTGATCCTCTTATAAATGTTACAGATGATTATTAATAGTATGTTTCTTGAAAATTAAATCTGAAAGCCAAATATCCATGTCAGATGAAAACTCCTTTTAGCGTATTTGAAAACTAGAAAATTTGGGGGACCATCATATTTTGGAAATTAGTAAAATATGAGAATATTTATGTGAAATATATGTAGAAACCATGCAAATTTCT